TCCTTCCTTCCTTCCTTCCTTCCTTCCTTCCTTCCTTCCCTCCCTCCCTCCCTCCCTCTCCCTGATTTTTTACAACATCTCACCTGATTAAATGTAATGGAGAATTTAAAAACTTGCACATTTTTGTGGTAGTTTTATAGATCCTGAAAAATGCATCATCCATTTATTATTTTGCAAGGATTATTTTTTTTCCTACAGAATACTTTGACCAAGATTATATTTTCTGTTCCTTGGGAAAATAAGTCCTGAACAATTCTGTAATTCTCAAATGCTACAGACCTCTCTAAAACTGAAACTAATTGCCAAAGTTGGCATCGTCTTAGGAATACCATCTTCTGCTTTGTAACGAAGAGTGCATCATTTGCAAACATTGGGAAGAAGAATATCAGATTTAAAATGGAAAAAAATGGGTTTCCTTCTACTATAAACTCAACAATGTAGGTATAATTTTACAATGGTTATCCCAGTTTGCTATGCTCTAACAAATTGAGATCAAGGTTCTTGAAGGACTATATGCCTGGTTTTTAACAGCTTCAATAAAGGCTCTTCTTTCAGTCCCCATGCCTTTAGCACTGCATTTGTTAGAGAAGTGAGAACGAACCTTTTTGGTGACAGCTCCTAATGTTTCAAAACTCCTGGCAAAGGAAGATGTAATGCTGTACTGACCAGGAGCTGGCAATAAATCAGAGACCTTCAGACAGTATACCGCAGAACTTGATTCTTAGACTAGGACCTGGCAGAAGTCTTACAATCACAGCTCAACTAAATAGAAATCTTCATTGCAAAGAAGAATGAAGCTAAACAAAAGTGTTGATTGTCCATTACTAGGATAAACCTTTTACAGCTGCAGTAATTCAAACCCATAGCTTTTTCTTCCCACTCTTCTCATGAATTCATGGATCATTATTCTTGATGCTTGAAACTGAGTTGTTGTTGAATGTTTAGATAACAACAACTCTGGCCTGATAATTGCTGACTCTCGGCTTAGTTCTCACACTGTTCTCATCTCTTCAGTTTACTTTCTTCCTCCTTATATGTTTGGATATACTGAATGATTCTCTTCCCTCCCTCATCCTAATTTCACACTCCTTGGCTAACTCAGTATTTGGGCCAGAATTTA